GATGTTTTGGTGAATAGGCATGTCTTCAAGTTAGCATCTTCGGAGGTGAAATCCACTAGATATAGGTTGTTGTATCTAAATCCCTTGAATATAACTTGATCATCATCTTTCTTAGATACAACCACTTCCTTCTCGGTAAACAAGCATTGGAAGCCAAGATCACACAATTGTCCAACGGATAGCAAGTTAAAACTCAAAGAAGCAACATATAGCACATTTGAGATTGAATGATCATTTGATATTGCCACTTTGCCCAATCCTTTGACTTTGCCCTTTGAGTTATCACCAAATGTAATTCTTTCTTGACCATCAACTTCTTCATCTAGTCAGGTGAACATACGAGGATCATCGGTCATATGTTGAGTGCAACCACTATCAATTACCCAATGACTTTCACCGGTCTTGTAGTTCACCTACACACAAGAGATCAAGCTTGTTTAGGGACCCAAACTTGTTGAGGACCCTTGACTTTCTCAACAAGTGACTTTGCAACCCAAATTTTCTTAGGCCTATTCTTGTTGGGAGGTCCTAAGAACATGACTTCATTTTTCCACTAGAGTCCTTTCTAAGTATGTAATAAGCATTGAAAGCAAAAGGTCTAGCATGCTTGGGCAAGGGTTGTGGTGGAGGAGTTTGACACTCATGGGCAAAGTGACCTTCTTGTCTACACTCAAAACACCTCTTTGGCTTTGGCTTTGACTTATGTTGTTGGTGTTGAGCTTGAGCCTTCTTCTCTTGATGTGCCAAGTATCCAATTCCACTTCTATCCATCTTCATCACGGTGTTCATGAGTAGCTCACTTTGAAGATGTTGACCTCTTGTGAATTTGCTCAACCCGGTCTTGAGATGTTCCTTTTCTAACTTGAGCTTCTTGTTCTCTTCTTTGAGCTCATCATGATTTTTCTCCTTTTTGAGTCTCTTGTTCTCTTCTTTGAGCTTCTCATTCTCAAGAATTAGATCACTATCATGGTCAAGGTTCTCTATCACAATAGTGTTTATGGTTGATAGCTTTTTAAGATCTTTCTTAAGCTTCTCATTCTCATTCTTGATCTTGACATACTCATCATAGTTGTTGGACTCAACCACTTGCTTGCCTTTGCTATTAGAACCTTGCTCAATGCTCTCAATGATCAAATCATCACATGATGTGGCTATATCAATCTTAACAACATGGTTAGTAGCATCATGTGGCTCATTAGATAATAGCTCATTAGAGACAACAAGATTATCATGATTGATCTTGAGATTTGTATATTCTTCTTTTAGCATATTGTAGCTAGTGATGAGCTCATTATGTATCCCCTCAAGTTTATCATGTTTTTCTTTAAGCTCTTTCTTAGAAGATTTGAGCTCCTTGAGTTTGGATGACATAGCTTCATTTGCTTCTCTAAGTTCAACACTAGCCTTTTCCGTTATGTCACATTTAGCTAAAAGTGAGTCATTCTTAAGTTCTAGCTTTTCATTTTTAGCTCTTGTCTTTCTAATGATCTTAGTATATTGATTAAGCAACTTGACAAGATCATCATCGAAGGTGATTCAAATTCATCATCACTATCACTATCATCATCGCTAGCATGTTTATTACCACTACTCTCATCATCACTTTGTACCTTTCGTTCACCCTTGGCCATAAGGCATAGGTGTGTAGAGGATGATGGCGGTGGTGTCGGTGAAGATAATGAAGAGTCAATCACAATAGTGGCCACCTTCTCGTTGTCACTATCATCATCGGATGAGCAACTTGATGAATCAATATCCGTGAGCCAATCACCGATGATGTATGCCTTGCCATTTTTCTTCTTCTTGTGGAAATCCTTCTTCTTGTCATCCTTCTTCTTGTATGGCTTGTTTTTCTTCTTCTCATCTTCATCTTCATCACTTGAGTCATCTTTCTTACCCTTGTTCTTCTTCTTGTATTTGTCTTTCTTTGGCTTGGGGCATTGATGTGCTAGATGACCAAGTTCTCCACAATTGTAGCAATCCATCTTGGAGATTGGCTTTCTTCTATTGCTAGTGAAGAACTTCTTCTTTTTGCCATCAAATTTGACCCCGTTCTTGTTGAGCTTCTTAAGCATCTTAGCGGTTCTTCTCACCATGAGAGCAAGACTTGCATCATCAATTTCATCATCACTTGAGCTCTCATATTCAACTCTTGCTTTGCCCTTCTCTTGGTTAGCCTTGAATCCCAAGTCTTTCTTCTTGGTGGAAGAAGAGCTATCTTGCGGTGTGATGTGCATATACATCTCATGTGCATTGATCTTTCCCAAGATTTGAGTTGGTGTAGCGGTGGAAAGATCACCTTGATGAAGCACGGTCACAATATGCCCATATTTGTCAATGGGGAGGACACTCAAGATCTTTCTTACAACATCGGATGGTTGCATTTGTGTGAGTCTAAGCCCATTGATTTCCTCTACAAGAACATTCAAGCAAGAGTACATTTCATTAGCACTTTCTTTCGGAAGCATCTCAAAGGAATTAAGCTTTTTCATGACGAGATGATAGCGTTCCTCATGCTCACTCTTTGTTCCCTCATAGAGCGCACAAATGTCTGGCCATGGTGCATGGGCGTCCTTGTGGTTTCGCACATGATTAAACACATCTTTACAAAGGCCTCTAAAGATGGTGTTTCTAACCATTGCATTCCACTTTTTTTGTAATTTACTTCATCGCCTTGAAGGTTGGTGGGATCCTTAGGTTCTGAGAAATCTTGGGAGGTGGCTCTAAGAATTCCAACATCTAGAGCTTCTAAGTAAGTCTCCATGTGAATTTTCCAATAAGGAAAATCATCTCCCTCAAAGATAGCAGGAGGTTCATTCCCGTGGGACATCTTTCTCTAGGCGGTTAAGCCTAATTTCGTAAGCACGAGGCTCTGATACCAATTGAAAGGATCAAGATGCCCAAGAGGGAGGATGAATTGGGCTAATTCTAAAATTCTTTGCAATAATTAAACCCTACACTTAGCCCACTTCACCCCTTGTGCCTAGAATGTGATTCTATTGATCTACCACACAAAAGTTTAGTAGCCTAAGTTCTAATCCTACTCTAGCATGGCAATTCTAAGAATATAAAGACAAGAAATGAATTGCTCAAATGTAAATGCTTAAAGTAAAGAGAGGAGAAGGAACATGGTGACGTTTTGTCGAGGTATCGGAGAGTCGCCACTCCCCACTAGTCCTCGTTGGAGCACTCACGCAAGGGTGTAGCTCCCCCTTGATCTGTGCAAGGATCAAGTGCTCTCTACGGGCTGATTCTTCGACTCTCCGTCGCGGTGAATCGCCCACAACCGCTCACAACTTGAGTTGGGTCATCCACAAGCTCTGCCAGATGATCACCAAGCTCCCAATCACCACCAAGTCGTCTAGGTGATGGCGATCACCAAGAGTAACAAGCACGAACTCTCACTTGACCACAACAAGCCTAATGAGAAGGGTGCATGCACACTTGCTACCCTCCTTGCACTAGTGAGGCCTTAATCTTGGATTCTCAAATCTCAATCACCTCACTAGGCTCTTGCTCTCCTTAGCACTCTCAAGGGTGTTTCTCAGCTGAACAAATGGGCAAGAGACCTCCCTTGGATGAATAGATGAGGTATTTATACCTCCTCATTCAAAACGAAACGTTAGGAGGTTGAGTCAGCACTCTGCGGGTGGTCGGACGCTCCGGTCAAGGTGACCGGACGCTCCGGTCAGTTATCCCCGCCATAGAGCCGTTAAGTTGTGACCGGACTCGGCCGGGGCGTGTCAGAGCCGCTAAGTTGAAACCTGCGATGTTGGCCGGACATCTTTGGCGCCCGAGTCCACTTCATTGTCAAATAGTCCGTCGATGCCGAATCGACTCTGAAAACCTTCGATGTTGACGCTACGATCAGAATTTCTCTCTCTGAAACCTCTCTGGAGTTGACCGAACTCTGGTACCCAGCGTCCGTCACTTTTCACTCAGCGTCCGGTCGCAACCAGACAGCTCCAGTTGATCAAATGAACTGATCGAACTCACCCTTCAGCGTCCGGTCACAACCAGACCAGCGTTCGGTCAGTCATTTGACCCTCCATTCACTTCCAACTCGAAATCATATGTGAATGAAGTTTGATCCAATTGATCTTAGGGCTACTTCTGAGCTATCTAGTGCTAGATTTGACAAGTGTGCACCACAGCTAACCCACTAGACTCACATAGGTCAAGCTACTGGTCCATACCCCCTAATAGTACGGCCAAAAGAAAAACAAAGTCATAAACTACTATAAGTGTCTCTTCAACATCAAACGACACTTAGAACTAGTCCATCCTTAACCTTGTCGTCCATCCTTTGAAAACTGAAACGATTTCCATCGTAGGGGCATGACAACTATGATTGCCCAATCAATTGCCATTAACATGACCTAACTTAATTGCCTCTGCAAAACACACGTTAGTCATAGTAATCTCGTATTGTCATTAATCATCGAAACCCAACTAGGAGCCTAAATGCTTTCAAAAGTCTTTGATAAAGACACCATGGGTCGTTTTTGTTTGCAAATTAAAACCATATATGATTCCTGATGTACCACAAGTAAAATCTGTCCCCTTTGGCCAATACTCACTCCATTCCAAATTACAAGGCGTCCTCTCTTTCCTAGATACGTTGCTTGTCTAAATATATATACAGTGTAACCATGTATTTAGAAAAGTCAAAATGTCTTGTAATTTTTATTAGAGGGAGTAGTTCTTTGACTTTTCCTTTGGCTAATAGTTCTTTTGGTGAATAAATTTCAGTCTCCCACCTGCCTCACAGGCATTCAAAAAAATATTTAATTAAAGTAATAAAATGCATTTTAACCAAACAGAAAGAGATAATAGAGTAAATTTGCAATTTCATCGAGGTGATATATTGGCAGGTTTGTTAGGTAAAAAGCAACCGTTACCTTTTGGGTGAGTATGTTGATCGACTGCAATTCGTTCTCGCTGTTGCTGCAGGGTGATGCATGGAACAAGAGAGACGTACGGTCCATTCTAGCATAGTTTTATAGATTATCTCGTTCTGGACATACAATTTGTCAAGAGAATCGTTGGAGAAGCAATAGTCTTTACTTATAGTTATTTCCTTTCATTTTTTTTTAATTTGATGAGCTCTTGAGCGGGAAATGTTGTAAGGACTTGGCCATGTCAAGTCACAGAGGCCCAAAATTTTTCATTCAAGAAAAGGTAAAGTCAACAGTCGTGGTTTTTGTAATCCAAATCGAATCGGAAACGCCTCTGTGACACATGTAGCTAGGTTTCTACTCCTACGGTCGTTAACCTTTTCTTTAGTAGGAAATCATCTTTTGAAGAATATATATATACTGAATATGCGTAACATATACACATGGTCCAATAAAGCACTATGGATATCAGAGCACTCGTACCCTCATACATCCATGTGGATGCGTCTTAGCACATATATATAATATCAAACAAGATTTGAGGCCTAAGCAACGTAGCATGCACAAGTATGCCTTTTGACAGTATTTAGCGCATCTATGTGTGTGCACGTACTATTGCTCTTGAAACAAATGTAAGAGAGTACTGTTACCCATGACACTTGTTAAGATTAATTAAGTATAGGGCCTGCGCTGGCTGGCTGAATGGAGGTTCGATGTTCCTTGGATGTAAAATAGTCACACGGAGTCAGGAGGCCTGGTAGTAACAGGACAGTGCTACTGAGAGCCCTCGTGGTTGTTAGAACATAGAAACACCCAGACGATCGATGGCAGATGAAGGTTTCGTCCATGGATTATCTGTGCAGTTTTTTATTGTCCACACCAAAACAACACCTTAAATGAAAAGAAACAATCATTTGTTCCAAATTCTTGTCTAGGGTGATCTGAGAAGCCAAAGATACGCATGGGAGGAATGAGCAGTTTTTTGTGAATTAAATTACCGGCCAAGGTGTCGAGCAGTGTGGTCTTGCCACACCCGGACGGTCCCATGATGGCCAGCACCTCGCCAGGGCGCGCGCTGCCGCTGACGCCGTGCAGAATGGTGGCGGCCTGCCCCCTGCCGTCGACCGCCGTCACCCAGACGTCCTCCCACGTTATGAACACGCCACCGTCGCGACGGACGATGCCCTCCACCATGGGGCCGTCAAGGTGATCTATGCCATCAAACCCAGAACGAAGGCCACCCACGGCGCCTCCTTCCACCTCGACAGCCTGTGGCGGCGGCGGCGGTGGCTGTGCCTCCCCTGTCATGGCGGCGCGCCAACGCCCATGACCACGTAAGGCTGCAAGTACGGCGCCGAACGGGGACAGCATGTTCATGCGGTTGCCGCCGCCGGCAGCAGTTGATGCTGAAGAACCACACAATGGCCGCGACGGGCTCGGCGTCGGCGCCCAGCGTGGCAGCGGTGACGAGGTCGCCATGCTGATACTGAACAATCTGTTTGGTTCGATCAATGGGATTGAAAGCCTAGGAAAGGTAGAATACTACTGAGCATCGACGTTGCGCGCACACGCTTGTATTTACGCTTTCGGAGGTTTGCTCGATCTTGTGCTCAGCTCAACCATGCATGGGTGATTAAATAATGCCTTTTGGTTTATGGTAGCGCATCGAAGGTTTGAGGAATGGCACAGTAGGACTAATTAAGGCACGTAGCTTTCGTATGGTTGCCACGGTAGAAAATGTTTATTTATTTGCACAACGATATTCCAACACTGCCCTTTTCTAGAACCCCATTCATTGCACCAGGCCTCCAGGTATCACCACCACTCGAGTTGATGGTAAGCTTCATCATAGGATGACCTTAGTTTCTATATTGACACGATCAAATACATCAAAGCATGTACTTTTAGGATGTTATGACCTTCAAAAAGACTTCTTCCATAGACTCTTTAGACAGCCATTACCACAAAACGAAATATTCTTTGAAACCAAAAACCCTCAAGAAAATCATAAAAAATACCAAGAAATTTGTTCCTAGTGGCTAACTCTTCGCTAAAAGTAGAGAGCAAATTAAAGGAAATTAAATTACGATAGAGGTTGGCTGCCACAAATGATTTCCTTAGGTTTAGCCGCTAAGGAAACAAAGACCAGGTTAAAAAATTTAAACGTCAATGAAATATGACAACCACCGAGAATATATATTTTCTTGAGGGCTGATGACCCCAAGGTAAATGTACACAACCGCCAAATAGTAAAAAAAAACGTTTGAAATAAGCACTTGAATTTTCATGCGTGTGGCCAGCAGGTATCAAACTCGCAACCTAAGGTTTTCGCGTGAACCTCATCTACCACCACATCCCAAAGTTATGTGTGACTAGGTGAATGATTATTTCCTTTGGCTTCAAGTTAGTGGATCTTGTAATGAATATTTTAGACCCTGAACAATTTCAAATGAAAAATATTTGAACCAAAAGTTTTAGACCTCATCGAGTACTATAACTTTGGTCTAGGTTGTATCTCCATCCAAGGCCGTTTAAAAATTTTAAATAATTTGAATTTCAATACTATAAAAAAACTAAAACATAATTTTAGATTCTAAATGATTTCAAATAAAAAATTCATTAACTACAAGGACGTAGATCTCTTCGAGCTCTACAACTTTGATATAAACTTTGTCTTCGTCCAATAGTAGTATGTTGTATGCTAACTAGACATCTCATATAAGTGCCAATATGCATTCTCTAATGCCTAACAACTCAAATTGTACCTTTTGTTAGATTAATGTATTGGGAAAGAACCGTATTTCATTCCACAAACATGTCAATGGAGCATTTGTGTTTATAAAATGCAATGTCTAACTAACAAGCCTAGAATGAGTCTATTATGTTGGTGGTTAAGAGGAATGTCTAAAAAGTAAACAATTTCCCTTAGCTGCAATGACAATTTACTTGAGGGTTTGCACCCATGAAAACTAACACTTTCCTGGATGTTTCTGATTACACCCAAGGAAATGTGCATCTTCCTTGGCGATGTGAAGTACCACCCAAGGAAATATTGGTTTGTAAAAACAATCAAGAAACTATGAAATTACCTTTCGGTTTTGAATAGTACATAAGAAAATGTGGAATTACTTTGGTGGTTTGTAATAACACTCAAGGAATTGTGGAATTACCTTGATGGTTCAGACTAGCACTTAAGGAAAATTTGAATTACTTTAGCGATTTGGATTAGCACTAAAAATATGCATTCTACAACTGCCAAGGTAACGATATATTCCCTGGGGGGTCAATTTCACCCCTCAAGGAAATTATTGGCCACCAAGGAAATTGTTGGCCACCAAGAACCTTTCATTTTTTTTGGTATTAAGCATATGGAATGTGGATGCACCATATGTGATTTTGGAGTACAAGCCCATCGAAGCTCAACATCAAGTTCATAGGTCAACTAGACTATACTTTATTGTGAGGATAATACTCTTTCCTTTGGAGACTGATGGTAACCCATAAGTACTTTGGTACAAAGCTTTTATAATCTTTAAAATGGATTTGATCCCACTTCAATATTAATTCAAAAAGGCATCGAAACGTCAAGACATGTTGATTCTATTTCTTCCAAGTGTTGCATCATCTACTATGGGGCAATGGGCCATGTAATTCAATGATGGGGCTTAGGCCAAGGTTTTGCATGCCCATATGTTGTGGAGGATGATTAGAAGTGCCACCCACTTGACTACCACCTCCTCCATTGTGGTTGTCCCCCACTTTCTTTTGTAGTTTGCTATCAATAGTTTTGTACTTGGGTTTGTTGAGTTCTGGTGTTTCCATTATGAAATACACATTTTTCATAGTATTTATGATGTTGTTGGTGTTTCTTACATTCATTGATAAATCCACAAGCACACGGATACCGCTGTAGCTTTTCATCCGGATTATTCGAAGTATCGTATCCACGGGGAAACGTGTGAGATTAACTAGAACTAACTTAACCAGGGATAGCAACAAGGTTAGGATAAATAGGAGTATAGAGAGGATTTCTAGGGCTTTTAACTTCTAACTTGAGTTAGCGTTGTATTTTAGTGTTCACCCGGGGACATTACTAAGGAAGAATTATACTTCTTCTATTGTAACTCAGGTCCTGCTAGGCCTATAGACAGAATGTGGAATACAGAGGGTCAACGAGGCTGTCACTCCCGACGATCAACCACATCCGGAATGCAGGGTGCATCCACGAATAACCGAAAGTCTAAGCACCACACTTACACCAAATATTAATAGTTCAACCCCGCAGCCTAGGTTTAAAGCACTCAAACGAGTCGTGATCCGGATAAACACTAAAGCACAAAACTACTTTAAATCAGAAATCAATTACCAAAGTTACCTCGAACGCAGGCTCGGAGAGCCTGAATCCGCCAAGGTACAAGCTATAGGGATAGCACCGACAAACCCGGTACTTCCTCCAAACTCTTTCGTCACTCAACTCACTATTTTCTATGTACAAAGAACTAATCCTACTTTAGAGGACTATTCTTCTCTTCAATTGCGATGCCTTCTGGAGGGGGTTTGGGGTTATTTTATAGGGGGTGCTAGGCTCCCTATGGGCCCATGGATCCATGGCATGACTTAATCTCATCCTTCCATCCAAACCGACTTAAATAAACAATGGAGATTCATCCTCAAAGTCGGTTAAAAACAACTAGAGCTCACAAGTGGGCCTAGCGGGGTCGGTCGACATACAGGTGGGGTCGGCCAACCCTACCATTGTCCCCTTCCACGTGGATCTCCTTCTTTGTCCCATGAACAGTGGATTAGAGCCAAGTAGAGTTGGTTTCGTTGCGGATGGATCTGATTTCTTGTGATAGCATGGCCCATTTTAGCCCATTTTCTGGATAAACCCTCTGCATTCACAAAATCACCAAAACTTGTGAAAATACTTAGTTTAAACCTCTAGACCTATGTTGATGATTGATTTTAAGGATTATTACATGTCATATTGATAGTTTAAGTTGACATTAATGACCGTCAACAGATGCTGAGACCGACTTCGCGAATCAGGACCATTGTTGTTGTTCTATTCGATAATGCTAATTAGTCCTCTTTATTCAAGAACTTGAACCTTATGTCTTCTATTATTCATATGCATTTTCAATTTTGGATTAAAAGTTTTATGTTCTTTCTTGTGTAGTTTGATTCGTATGAAGAAAAAGCCTTCGTAATGAGCTAAACTATGTTGTGCATGGTTGATAACCAACAGAGAAGTGTCATAGTGGCTGAAGGGATTCTAATCATACTTGATTAGAAGCCTAGATCATAAACATCGTGTTCAACAACAATCGAATCACCCTACATACCAGAAGATCCCAAAAATTCCATCATCGTATCAATTTCCATGTTCATTAGGTAATTTATATCCCCATATTTGTTTAGTTCTTATCATTCACCTAATATAAATCTAGAAGTTCTACAACAATATTTGTGTTTATCATTGTCCTTCCACTACACTTCCCTTTGTGCCTCACAAATTATTATTTCAATTTTATTTTCTAAATTTGTCCCTCAAAATGGCATTTGTGTCTAGGTTCATCTGTATTATTCCTTTTTAGTGCAAATTGTGTTCCGAATGATTTCCCTGGTCCTCTCTTGTGCATGCCTAAAAGTTTGTGCTGCATATGTGGATACCCTATGGAGTTCATTACATTTTGGGACTATGATTAGAGCATTTGATGTGAGCAAGAACCGGTAAATAAGCTCAAGTAATAGAACTGAAACTTAAATAAATAAAAGATATAGAGTTACTAGACTAGTAATCTAGATGTCACTTGAAGACGAGCCTGATCACTAAGGTAAAATTTGGAAGAAAACCCAACAACCCTAGCCCCTCCCTAGCTCACCTTTCTCCCTATTTTCTAAGTTAAAAGCTCTAGTTTGGTTTTGGTGAATTGATGAAACCCTAAGTGCTAACCTAGTTTATCAAGTGATCATGAGATAGGTAGCACATTCCAAGTGGTGAAGCAAATGAAGATCATGACATGATGATGGCGATGCCTTGGTGATGATCAAGTGCTTGGACTTGAAAAGAAGAAAGAGAAAAGTGCTTGGACTTTAAAAGGCTCAAGGCAAAGGTATAAGTGGTAGGAGCCATTTTGTTTCGGTGATCAAGACACTTAGTGAGTGTGATCACATTTAGGTTCGATAGCCGTACTATTAAGTGGGGTGAAACTCATATCGAAATACGGTTATCAAAGTGCCACTAGATGCTCTAACTCATTGCATATGCATTTAGGATCTAGTGGAGTGCTAACACCCTTGAAAATGTTTGTGAAAATATGCTAACACACATGTGCACAAGGTGATACACTTGGTGGTTGGCACATTTGAGCAAGGGTAAGAAACTTCACTGGTGGAGTGTCCGCTCGTAGGGTGCGGATAGTCCGACGGTGCCACTGGCGCCCTGTATAGAAAAGACAGGATTTCACAGGTGACCG